TTGGGATGGATTTGAGTATACCTGGGGTCAAAATGACTTTCAAATTGATCGCATAGTCTACTGAGATCAAGGTAATAACCCTCCCTAGCCAGCTAGTCGTGTTGGAATGCTTCACAAGGAAACCAAAAAACATAAGCAAAGATGGAGTACTGGTCATTATTCTATTTCAGTAATTTCCATACGAAATATTCATCGATTCATCTACTTGTGTTTCATTCAAATAAAAAGGACAAAAATGTGTATACTGAATTTAAAGGCGCATCATTGTTTTAAGGGAAAGACAATTAGCATTGTAATTATTAGTCGTTGGTCTATGGGTTTTAACACCTCCTCTACCATAGTAAAAATGTATTTTGCCTTACGAAAATTAACTTCTATAGAAAACAATGGTAATTATACATGTGTGCATAATAATGTTCATCCTAATAAAGGAAAAAGACACACCAATGGTCCTAAACATATTTCGTTGGGGTTAGTTCAATAATCAAATTTAAACAAAATGAAAACAAAATAAATTACGCTTGATGACTCACAGCCCTTTAAGTTGCTGCAAATTTATTTCCATCTTTGAGTAACAAATCGGGATGTTAAAAGGATCCCTGATCACTGTCTCAACTACTTATATTTTTCTGTTTTGGGGGGTAAGTTCCTGCATGCCATTTTTTACAGAGTAAATTTGTAAGTAATCCACCTTTTTAATGTTGTCTATAATCCAGAAGTTGACAAATGACATCATGGGTTCAGAGACCCTGTATCTTTTCAACAGAAAGCAAAACTCTACGATTTAAGGAGACCAAAAAATGAATTACATCAAATATGTAAATGTATATGTAGGCTATTATTTAAACCACCCGTCTTTAATACTATAATCAAATTCACAGCTGTGTTAAACTTTTTTGCATGGATGATTAGCTTAATATGAAGTAATTTTGGAATGTAAACATATTAAAATTTCATGTGCAGGGAAAATGCTGGTACATTTGAGTATTCATTTTAATGTTAACTCATCTCGTACACTAAATGAACGAGGCTGTTCCAGGAATGGGACACAACGATGAATTCAAAAATATCAAACGAATGGTGCTAGGAAATATCCTTGAATTAAAATTATATAATAACATTTTATTTGCAGGGAAAAGGCAGGTACATATGAGTTTATAATTATATTTGTAATGTAAACATATTAAAATTTGATGTGCAGGGAAAATGCTGGTACGTTTAAGTATTAATTTATAATGTAAACTCATCTCGAACATTAATGAACGAGGCTGTTCCTGGAATGCGACACAACGATGAATGCACTTTTTGTGACATAATTATTAGGTATTAGGATTAGGCTACAACATGAGTATAAATGTATAATTGCGAAGGCATCACGCACTGATTACACTCAGATTGGCCGGTGTTCCAATGCCATTAGCATGACTAATTGATAATCAATACCTTAATACTTGCCTTCACGCCAGAGGTTTCGTACTATTTATTCGCTTAATTTGTCACCGATTAAATTTTGCTGGAGTAACAGAGGGGCGCAACCGCGCAAGGTTGGGCAAACACTCTTAGATTGCCGTAGAAATGGGCTTTTAACATCGACCCAATGGTCTACATGTGAAATACCATTGATGCTACTTATGTTTCACTCATTCATTCATCCCCCTTGATTTTGTTCTCTTCTCTCTCTCTCTCTCTCTCTCTCTCCTTCTCTTGCTATCTCTCTCTCTCTCTATCTTGTCCGTTTTCTTTTTTTCTCACCATCTTGTCTCTCTTAGGCACAGATATCGATTTTAGAACGTTTATCCCTGTCTGAGAATAGAGGTTTAAAAGCTTCATGATAAGTGGACAATTTTCCTCTTGATGTGCCGTCCACCATCGCGTATTCCGTTGTCCGTTTCTTTCTTCTTCTTATTTTTGGGGGAGAGGAGGGGGGGGGGGTAATTAATGATGTAATAATGTTGTATATCTGAAATAATGAAATTATTTCATTTCTTCAGGAAATCGTAAGAAATGTTGTCAAGAGAGATAGAGTCGATGGGATCATGCACTGACCATCGGCTATATTCAGTAGCCTGAACAAACTGGGATATATAGAGCCATTCTCAAGTGGGTCGGCAGCGGAATGTTGACAATTCTGAGACACGGGGGTTGCAATATAGGCGATACAGGTAGGGTAATATATACCGCAGATGTTTTTTATCCTGGGGTATATATCCACTTTCGTTTGCTTTCTTTGCGTCGACTCCAGCCTCTCAACAACCTCATCAATATTCCAAATCATCTAAGGGGTTGTACCAAAAGCCACCGAGAGTGGTCGCCCTTCCTCATATGAAAGTGGCGAAACGCCAACGCCAAGACGTACACACACACACGCACCACCCCATGTAATGGGGGAAAAATCTATCCGAATCCGAAAAAATATAAACGTATAGCATAAACGTATTATTTTCTGATTATCATTCTTTACACATGAACTTGTTCATTCTTATTTCTGCCAAATCATCAAATCAAAATTTATCGGAATCAACATTTGATTTGATAAGTGGAAAGGACAAAACACACTCGGTGTAACTGAATCCGATGAGCGAGTGTTCACAAATCGTTCTGATACGTGTAGAGGCATGGGACTAGATTGGCAATAGCTCAGAGGTAGGTGATCGAGTATGCGGTTGTGTGCAATGCTACGCTCTTCAACTGCCTTTACAGAAACGGAGAGAAATTAGGAAATGCTACTGCCAAGAAATCATGACAATAATATTCACTGAACCATTGAAGATAAAGTGATACCTTCTCAATTTCTAGTCATTAAATTGGCCATGAAATTCTAATCCGAAGAAGCACGGTGTTTGTTCATTCGTGCTAAAAATGATGAAGAATTTAGCCTCGTTCCGTTTTCTGACTTCATATCACGGCATTCATATCATTGGCTTGTGACAAACGAGGATACATACGGAGAATTCGGGTCAGATTTTTCGTGACTAATTCAAACATTGCTATCGGCATTTTGCTTTTATTAAAACGCGGACAAAGCAGTGATGAAGAGCTTTGAAGTTCACTATAGTTGGTTTTCATAGCCACCTGTCATTCTTACCCTTTCTCTCTCTTTCTTTCTCTTTCTCTCTCTCTCTCTCTCTATTTCCTTTTCTCTCATTTTCTTTCTCTCTCTCTCTATCTCTGTCTACCTCTCACTATCTTTCTTTCTACCACTATCCTTATTTCCTCCTCTCCATAGCTAGTTCCTCCCACCTCTCTCCAATATTCACAAAATACAGCAATAACCTTTCAAATCCCACCTACTGTACACTAGCATGCCTTTACAAACCGCCTTGACATCAAATCGCAATTGTATTAATATCCTTTGAATATCATCCTTCATTGCACACATCTTAGCCTTCACAAACTACCATGACATGTAATCGCTCTTGTATTATTATCTTTCCTTCCAGCTCGCGGAAAGAATCATATTACCGTAGAATTTAGAATTAATATTTCATTTGTCACAGCAATTTACGACGATCGCCCAGTTTTCGCACGTTGGGTACAATGGTAGTATACCTAAGACGTTTTGTGTCCATGTTTGGTAATGTATTGAGTGGGAGCTCGTCTTTCATTTCTCATTATCCTTTCATTGCGGGAACAGAGTCTTATTACGTTTCATTACACGATGAACCTACCCAACGACTCCTTACAGAGTAATCAAAATCACCTCTTTACTTCCGATGCCTCATTTGCTTATCTTCACCATTAGATTCCTAAACCAAGTTAATAAAATGCACCGAATGCAACTGACATATTGCAACCCGACGTCCATCGTATGATTTTCATTTGTGAATTCCTCGTGGTCGATTTTGCTGTTTTCGCTTTCCCAAACGAATTTCCTTCTCAAGAACCCTTCCATGTCAGTCTAAACACGGATCAGAAGGCCTGTAATACCCATAAGGGTTCTCGAAACATTGTATAGAGCACCAATACCCGTTTGCTCTCTCTTTTGACCAAAATCAATTTGAATCTGCTCAGTCCAGCGAGCTGCTTTCAAAGAGACTTGATTTGTCAACACAGGCATCACAATAGTGTTGTTTACTTTCCTAGTTTGGCAGGTCTGTGCTCTTGCACCAGGAAGTGGGTTTGTATTCCAATCTTGAGTAATGGAAAATCATCCCTATATCATGATGATGATCACGACGAGGACAGTTAGGATGAAGAGCAGGAGGAGGAGGAGGATCAGGCGGATAATTGTGATTGAGATATATCATTCGCATAAAATGTTTTCTGTAACCAAGTACGCCACACGCCTCTACGTTACAACGAATGCATTCATCCTCACATTGCTTGTGACACACACCTTTCGAGGTTTAATATCAGTTCATGTATTAATCTGTTATGCCATGCATGTGAATGTACACATTATATTCCGCAGTCATCCATATTCTTTTTTTTTTAAAAACGATGGTACATTAGATCATCTGTCCTCGCAACAATCCACCAACAACCCGCATGTTGACATCCGAAATGGATGTATTGCTTGTTTTGATATCCCCACTCAAAGCTATTAATGTTTCCTTAACAAAATGACCTGTGTCCTGTCTTGTACAACAAAGTTGACGGAAATACACATGTTGAAATAGACAGTGTACTGGAAAAGATATCGTTGTGATTTCCCAGTAGTAACCATACACTCAGTCTTTGACACACGGAGTACACGTATATCTCATCATCCTGGCTTTTCGTTCCAATTTCATAGTTCAATCGTTCCTGTTGCGTGCAATTAATCGCCAACACGACGTTGTTTCTTTACACCAATATATTTAATTACGTCTTAATTAACCTGGAAGATCCATTTCATGACAGCTAAGTGTCTTCCGATTAAAAAGGGCTTAAAATCCCTATGAGACTTGTATATATTATATATATATATATATATATATATATATATATATATATATATATATATATATATATATCTATCTCTCAACCTACCTACCAGTATTAAGCATTTTTCACATCTCTCTCTCTCTCTCTCTCTCTCTCTCTTTTCGTTTCATTTTCACTTCTGAATTGCAAAAGATGGTGTGGTTGTGGCTCATGTTACGCAGACCTGAGCATGACGTGTCTCAGTTCACGTCCCTACAGAATTCCCGGCTCAAGTGACTCTCTCGTCCACGGTATTTTCTACCCGTGGACAAACCCAGCAAATGAGAGGAAAATGTTGTGGAGAAAAGATGGACGAGGGAAAGTGCGAGAAGAGAAAACGTTTATTCAATCACATTGATAAAGAAGCGAGTATATGCATGTAACTGATAGCACCCTCGATATCTTTACTGTAATGGTATATCATAGATCGCAGACCAGCGGGTAATGTCCTAACTAACAACATGTCCACATGTTTTCCTTACGTTTTAAATCATATTATGAATGTTGCTGTCTATTATGTCCACCGTTCGTACACGCATGTTGATATTCACGCCTTTTATTATTACTGAAGGATGACCTTTTGTACACTTTTACCTACGAAACGTCCCGTCTGTCTTGCTCGATCCCGAAATCGATTGTTGTATAGAGAGGACGGAGCGTTAAAAATAACAAAAAAGAACCAGATTCATTGTGCTGCTGTGAAAAATAAAGCTAACAACTAACCGTAAAATTGTCAATGAAGCATGATTTTCTGTTCTTCGGAAGAAGTAATAACGTTCAGTAAGTTAGATTCCTTCAATCAATATGTATTAGTACACCTCTAGCTATCCTACTCCTTATCATATAATTATATCACCCCACTCATCATATAAAAGCAGTGGTGGTCGGAGAGTCGTAAATTGTATTGTTGTATTGTTATATGTGGTAAGTCGAAGGGATAAGTCGATATTTAATGTTCTATTGGTGTAAAGTGATGACCTTCCTTGAAAAGCCATAGACAAGACAGTGTTTACGTCCTAAATTCGCCTGCACAGTTAGGATACTAAGATCAACATTCGTATGTCTTCTCATTGTCCTACTTTGTTAACGCTTCACTTCTTCTCTTTCTTCCTCAAATCATTCGTACTCTGTTCCTCCAATTTTCACTCTTCTTCGTCGTTTTAGTCAATACTTCCCATCTCCTTTACATACTGTGTATATCATGGGCGGTTCTCGACATATGCGGCATTATGCATAAATGCGTAACGTGAGAGGGGAGAACAGGAGAGCGGCTTGGTAATGAAGACTCCATTTACAGCAAATTATGGTTTAACAAAATCTTCCAAAGTATCACTGTACGTCCCTGTCTCCCCTTAACAAAATACCAGCCGCGTTTTTGAATAAAGTTCTTCGTCTTCTTCAGTAGTTGGTTGTCGAATCCGATTATGTGCGCTGATCCTGTATCGATGCTTCCCATGCATGCACAGTCATATCCGTCCTTCTCCTTGTAGCATATCGGCGTCAACGCATATCTTGTCTTACTCTCAAATTCAAAACCATATCGTGTTTCATTGTTTCTTAATACAGTCAAGGAAGTGTCCGAATGCCAGTAATCGGAAACCTGGCGTGTTTACATAGACAAAATAACAGAAGGTGCTGGTATCAATGTCCAAATAATAGTATTTTGCCAGCAAATAAAGCCTATTTGAACCTTTAAGAAAACGGTGCTGATCAAAATATCACAATATTGCTTTTGATTTGCTATAGCAACGTTTCAAATTTCACTTCACCATGGCAATGCATTTTGTCTGGATGGCTTTAGGAAGTTGATACTGGCCTTTCGTGTCATTACGTATGCTTCAACAAATGGTGGTATAGCTATTAGTACCGGTCATTTATTCAATGGGGATCACTTCAAGTCTGTTTAATCAAATAAGAGTCTACAGGAAGGTCACAAGTCCCGACCGTGTATGATTGCAGTTACTCGGTAATTTGGGCGAATATCCAGAGCCGTGGTAAAGATAACGAGCCGTATCTAATAGCACAGTGTAATTTAGTCCAAAGTTTGATAATGGCAGCTTATGTTAATCGCGATAATTGGTAATTAAACTTATGTATACAAGATCTCTACCTGTGATGCGATCACAAGTCACTCTGTGATGCCTGTCGTATGCTTATTCAGGCTTGTAAAACAAACGGTAAATTCGACGACCCCTTCCCTGAGAATATATATTATATCTAAATATGATTGTTATCTGAATTATTGCCTTGTTTTTAGATTCTGTTTCAACGGTGGGGTACTCACCTGATGTTTCTGGTATGACCACTCTCTCCATCAGCTCCGCATAGTCCATATTAGAGAACTCATCGAAACGTTCGTGGGTCATATTAAGACCAGCATTTTTGAGGGAACTATAAGTCGCCCCAGCCATGTACAAAGGGTCCTGCGAACCCTTATCGTTGAAATGATATAAGAATACCCCTCTCTGCCACCCGAATGTACTCCATACCTCCAACACAATCCTTCCCGCATAATAATGAGGGGGCATAAACTTTGTGATGCACTCCCTCTGAAAAAAGTTGACTGATTGTGCTCCCACTGTGATAAGGGGTATATTCCACCGTTTAGCAAACCTCTGCACCGGGATGATGGCAGTCTCACAAACTGGTCCGATGTAAACATGTACTTTAGAATCCACCTTCATATCGGCTGCCATGAACTGAGTGTTGGCAGAATCACACAAACTGTCTTCCACTTGCAAAGTTATATTCCAGCCCTGAAGATACTGATCTTCAGCCTTCTCAAGGGCTATTCTCAAGGCAGGCATCATCATCTGCAGGTGATAAGGGTAATGGCGTCCCGGAGGTAGCCAAGGGGTGTTACCGGCAGGTACAGTCGGTAAGAAATAATTAGGTAACATCACACCCCATGTCATTTTCCGATCCGAAGGAACTGCACAGCTTATAACATCAAACACTGAAACAAATGTGATACAAAAGTGCACAAAACATCGGATATTGCCCATCCTAAATCCAGGCCTGCTAAATCCTTTTAAAAGCCCCATGATAGTTCCGAAAGTAGTGTCCGCAGAGATAGAAACAAAATGATGAGCGACACAGGTATAGCGTGACCACGGGAAATGCGTCCGTTCGAGCGGTTGCCCCGATGACAAATGATCGGGGGAGAGCTGAGCGAACGTCAACTGTACCGATAGACAAGGCACACGAATTGCAAGGCAATATAGCAGGCCGCCAAACTTGGACTAATTGCACAATGCGGGTGCGCTACCACTCTAAATATGCGTAAATTAAATGTTTATTACAGAAGAGAACACTTTTCATTCCACAGATCTCATTTAATCCATGTTAATACCAATCTGTGAATCCAGGGCTTCATCTGTATAGCAAACACCATTCGCCAAGTGAGGCGTGCACGCATTGAATGCATTATCTCGTACATTCATTAGAGGGGGCATCGAAATTACACTAACTCATATGTCCAGACGGATTTATTCCTAGTAAGGGTGGCAGTGACAATCTCAATTTGCTGCTTCCGGTTATAAGGTGTTATTAACTGATGAAAATTCATGCGAATACCTGGACACTTTCTTTCATCCTTTCGAAATTATCAAACATAAGCGGCTAATGAATCTAAGAATATATATCAGCTTATTAATGTTTCCGAATGCCCTACGTACTATTTCCATTTATACCTGTGTCAGGAAGTGACAAACATTACACAGTTTTTTAAGTTTGATTTTCCCAGCCTTCGATAGACCTATGGAAAGAATCATAAGTAGTCTAAAGTATCATAAACTGCCATGAGGGCAATAAGAAGTGACCGTCGAAGCAAATATGACAACCATAATTTTGGAGCCGATCTGATCCGTTATTTTTTTTTTATTGACTCTCTGATATTGAATCTGTGAGCAATATTTGCAGACAAACTTGACATTTGACCCCAAATTCTCCATGGGCTCCGCAATAAAGCCCTGATGGAATGTTGTCACTATACCTTGTACTTTACCCTAATGATCATCTTATTTGACATGACTCCGTTCTCGCTTGCCAAGTCCCCCCCCCCCCCGCGCCCCCATATGAAACAAACGAAGTGCACGAATAATGATATGCAAGATGGAACGTACACGAACGCACCGTCCAATCTCTCCCGTTATCTCTCTCTCTCTCTCTCTCTCTCTCTCTCTCTTTTCCACAAGCTGATATTGAAGGATCGAGGCTGTAGTGTGTCACTTTATGGGGAAACCTCGTCCATGACACTCGCGCTGAGGGGATCTTAACGGGGCTATTTTTCATAACGAGATAATTATGGAAACGAAATGGACATTTTTACACGCACTCGTATATTGAAGGCATTTGTCTTCATTTGTAGTAACGTGTGCCATCAATTTGTCCGCGGGTTTTTCAGAGAAATGTCTATTTGAGTTGACTTCACTCTAGGGGAAAGACGGTGTCGGAAAGGATGGGGGAGATAGATGGAAGTGGTGGGAAGCCGTTCATACAAATGACATCAAAGACAAAAAAGTTGTTACCTGTGCAATGCAGTGTTCTATTCATATTACTCGTACGCGTGCATAGCCATTTGAACAAAGTCATATTAATATCAAGCTACAATGCTCGTTTGCAAACATCGTCACTTTGGATCGGAGAAAGAGATTACAAACTAAACATTTACCGTTAGGTATGCTGGGAAGAAACCTGAATACATGTATTTAGGATCATCCTGTCCTTTCGTACTCTATATTGGCATTTTAATTAAGATGTATTGACAATGCTTTGGGGTATTGAACCAATGTTTGTGCCTTCAGTGGGCCTTTGTATGGTGCAGGATATTTACACAGTAAGAGTCACCGCGTAAATGGCGCCTGGGTTTGTGTCCCCTTGGATATCACGCGACGCAGTTTGTACACACGGGGCAATGCAACATAAAAGCCATACATTGTATGCATTCCTTCTCTATTGATGTATCAAATGCCTCCATGACATCGATTGATACAAACTCAATTCAGCCCATTCCTATAGAAGATTCTTATCTTCGAAATATCGAGCACTGTTGACATTTTATTGAAGGGGAACCCCCCCCCCCCCCAACGCATAGACACTGTTTTTCCAATCAGTTGGAAGCACCCTCTCTATTTCGCTCCATTAGCAGAACCCTAATCAATGATCATAGACATTTATGTCCGGTGAATGTCTGATGGATGTTAAAATCGTACGAAACGAACCGCATTGTTTTACTTGGCATAATATTCATTTGTTTCAACCAAGCCCAGTTATGATTGATAAGAGATTCGTTTTGAAAAGTGAAAGGGAAGAATTATAATAACCAATCGAAACATGAATTATTTATATCCACGATGCAGCTAATAGCTAGCTACGTGCATTTTCATAAAATGAAAGCTCGAATAAAGAGAAGTGAAGATTTCATACTTTTCTGTTGCCTTTTTTCCTCTATCTCATACTTGTTTACAATCTGTTGCTCGATTGAATGACATGCACGTTGTAAAGCCAGATTCATCGCACAACAGTTTATCCTCAGGCAAGAAGATTTTTTTCTCGATCGGCTAAATTAATCATCGCCTAATTTTTACGGGAGAAATCGGCGTCGGTCGCTCGTCGCTCACTTGTCTTTGAATCAAATCTACTTGAAAGTGATATTTCAGGCAGCACCCCCCCCCCCTCTCTCTCTCTCTCTCTCTCTCTCTCTCTCTCTCTCTCTCTCTCTTTATACAGTAGGCCCTACGGCTAAATATTGGTAAATATGATTGCATCTGAAAGGAAAAAATCAATCGAGTACATTTGTACTTAATTAATGTAGACTACTGATTGTCTAAGGTTCACTGATAACTATATAAAACATTCATGTCAAAACATTGGTATGACTCCAAACCCACAATTATGTTCCCTGGATATTAAATTTAAGTACTGACACGGAAGCATCACGTTATCATATACCCTTTGGATTAAATGTTCATACTAAATTGCCCCTTAAAAGGATCATAATGAGTAGACTGCGTGCAATCGTTTTCGACTGGATCTGTTCTCAACCCTTCTCAAATTCCAAAGATGAAGTAAAACTTAACATGCAATAGCAGATAACGAGGATGCGATTGGATGGGTATCATGCCCAACCAAATTTACAGTGCGGATTCTTTGCCCACGGCATCAGCAAATTATTTGTACTTTCTCCGGAGAAATGTTATAAAGCCAAACACCTTTTGATTTTATCCTCTTAGCTGGATGGAACAGGATTTCTTCATCTTCTTCTTTTAATCTTCCCTCAGGGTAATTACATTTAATCCGTTATGTTGACACGCCTGGTTCTGGAAGTAGAAACCTAACCATGTGTGCACCATTTGCTTTCGCATGCCATTAGAAAGGGTGAGTGTCTTACCCCGTGTCTCTGTGTGGACTGTTTGCCTAGGTAATTCACACTGAGCTGTGCGAACAACGAGATACTCATCTCCGATATTATTTTATTCATTACTGGCGTTGGAATGATGGAAAGTGGTGCCAGAGTGGCCCCCGAATAACAGCTTCTCCGTCTTAATGAATATATCACGATTTATTAAAAAAGGGCCTCTCGTCGCTCTGTGCAGCGTGTATGTGTGATTGATATTGATTTATTGATTTAGTAAACGACAACAAACTAAAATTTTAACATTAGCTCGAACTCCGTTGCGCGGCCCGGCCAGGCAGATGAATTGACAAAGAAAAAGCTGTCATAAAGCGTTTACACAAGCATGCTAATACTGCCTTACTGAGCGTAAAGCATGGGCATGACATTTCGCTCAAGTGGACTAAGTGCATGTTAAAGGTACAAAGTGACAGGAGTGTCAAAGTATACACGTGGCTTTAGCCTTTAAAAGGATATTATTCAGATCAATATTTACTTTTACATGCTGTAAAGAAAAGAAAAAATACCAGCGATTTGCATCAAACATGACCAATAACTAAGATCGCGTACGCCCTCACAGGCCGGTTTGTCTTTCTTCCCATTATAATCATATTTTTTTGTATTCACGTCATAACAAAGTGAACACGGCTATCGTTATCTCATTCGACATAAACATGATGTAATCATTGTAATGTATAATGAAATGTGACTGTCTGGCAAGGGGACATATCAAATACCAAGGCACACAGCTGAACCGTCTTCTCCAGTCGAATCAATCTATGCAAGTGTTAGAGGCCCTGTATCAGAGTGTCTTCTCGTTAATTATATAACCTGATAAGTTATCAATCCTTGTCTCGTTGAATTCCTTTGACCCATTCAGCCATTGTGATGTACCATAGAGGCCTATCGGTAACATGAATATTACATGTCCCCTTTATGATTCTCGCCGGATGCAGCTATGCGTGTCCTAACATTCTAGATTAATATCATTGAAATGACGATTGAAACAAATTAATCCTGGATTCCAATATCGTTAAAATTGCGGGTTGAAATACATGAATAACACAGACCCTACCATGCCTACGGTATGATTAATATATACAACGTTAACCAATATTCAGTTAGATTCAATGGTATTCTTATTTTTGACAGCGTAGGGCCATACGTCAACCTTGAAGTCAAGTTTCATTTCGTTCATCCTCGTTTCAAAGGCATGTCGCGAAAGGGAAATAGTTTGTTCAAGGGCGTGTATACGCGCTTACATAAACACAAGGCAATAGGAGAATATCGAATATGACTCGACTACCAGTCAAATTGGTATATTGGAGTTGTATCAGCTTACCAATCGAGTAGTTTGCGATTTTTACAATGTTTATTTTTAAGCAATCACCGAAACATCCCACGCACTCTATCAACTGTGCACATCAATGGATCTATATTTAGGCTGCACACCGTTTCGGCAACATGATTCCGTGACACCTTACATTGTATCCAGAAAGCACTTCTGCGATACCGTACACCAGCTTTCATTTACAGACTCTCTCACCAACCCAGCTGCTCCTGCATGTGGACTCGCAAAACAAACATGGAAAGGAAGAGGGAAAAAAAAGTAGTAGCTTAATTTCGTTCATTCGGCTGATTCGCGGTTTACTTTCAAGGTGCTGCCAAACACCATCGGAAGTACTGCTGTAAGGAAGGAGGTGCAGAGGAAGGGTGATGGTGTGGTGTGGTGGAGATGGAATAGAATACCCTGCTGATTAAAAAACAAAGAAATTATAACCTTAAGACGTGTTCTATGTATATCGAGAGTTCTAGAATATTGTTATTAGAAGTCA